ATGACAATTTTTGTTTGATGATCTGTCCTCATTTATAAAATGCACTGACATAAAATGCATAGCTCTTGATGTAGTGTCCTGGGTATTGAAGTTTCCAGGGGCCAAAGGGATGCTTGGCATCTTCTGATGTCCTGGTGGATGTGATAATGTTATTGAACAATGTCACCCCAGTTAATTTAAAAAGTAATGAAAAGTGCTGTCTCATTTACAAGAATTGAAAAAAACTGATTTTTCAGTTAACTGTGGAATTTCTTCCTTATATAGCTATTAGCATTGGTACACATATAATTTTTGCCTACTGATATTTATCGACTTTGTGTATGTTCTGCCTATAATAGTACTGAATATATTTACTTATATAAACCTGAGATAACCCTATGATGATTTTATTAATCCGATCTAGTAGATAAGAAAAAATGACGGATTATCTGGCAAGGTCCTACAGCTTTTAAGAATTGTAGTTGTTTAATGGCCATGATCTCTTGAGAAGGAAAATTAAATTTTAAGGATCCATTTAAACCCTGAAAAGAACCCTGAGTTTAGGGTAAATGCAATGTGTTTGTTTAGGGTGTCATGCAATAAGTTTGCTTATAAGTAATGAAAAAAATTAAAACATTGGTAACAGGAATGCAGACCAGGTGAATCTAAGGGCACTAATAATCATGGAACAAGGTAACTGCATCTTAAATATATTGAGTACAATATTTGGAGTGAAGAAGGTAAGACTTCTACTTTGCCAGCATCAGATCACATACCCCAGAAGCCTGCATTTAGTTTGGTTTCCAGTTTTAGAAGCAATACTGGGAAGCCATGCCAAACTGCAGCCAGCATAATGTCGTGGTTAGAAATGTGGGCTCAGGAGTCTGACACCTGGGTTCAAACCCGAGTTCCTCTTAATCACCTTGACTTTCAGCAAGTTACTTCACCTCTCCCTGACCCTGTTCTCTCACAGGAGTAACAAGAGCAGCAGCAGCAGATTTTACCAGCGTCGTTGGCAGGATTTAATGATATCAAATGTCAGTGGGATACATGGTAAGCACTGAATGAATTTTAACTATTGGAAGAAGTTTATAATAATGATGAGATCTGAAATATCACTGAAGAAACAAATGAACAGAATTTAGAGGAGAGTGACTCAGTTTCTATGGCTTCTACAGCCATAGATTTTTTCATGGGAAATACAAAGTTTATTTTTGTATTATTATTTATGATTATGCTTTTTTTAAGTATATTTTATTGATTATGCTCTTACAGTTGCCCCAATTTTTTTCTCCCCTTCATTCCCCTCCCCCTTTTCCTTCCCCTACCACCTACCCTCTAGCGTTCCCCGCCTCTTAGTTCATGTCCATGTCATGTCCATATAAGTTCTTTGGTTTCTCCATTTCCTATATTATTCTTAACCCACCCCTGACTATTTTGTGCCTACCTATTACAGTCATAGATTTTTTAATCTACTCAGAGATTAATGTAAAATAAATTCTGATTCTGAAGATAAAGAACTCTGTGGAAATTACAGCTTAGCAAAGATAGAATGGGCTCTTCAGATTTAAATATTTACTTAGACATATTATAGGGGACATTTACAGAGTCTTGGTCAAGATAACTTTTAAGCTTCCTTCAAAGTTCAAGATTCTATGAAAATAAAAGCAACCTTAGAAAATTGTATGAGGCAACTATTCTTCTTACTGCGAATGTGTGCTTATGTAGAGAAATCAGCGATTTCTAATCATTTCAACCTCGAAGCCTAAAATTTTCTAAAATTTCTAGTGCACGTTGATCCTTCAATTCCCTAAATTACTAGAATTATTGAAAATAAGAACTTAAAGCACACCGTTTAACAGGAATCTCAATGTAAATCCACAAAACCTGTTTTGAACAACTATACTCATGTAAAGAAAACCTAGAGAATGAAATTATCAAAGCGTTTCATAGGTAAAGATATGCCTAAATCCCCAGTGTTGGCACAAAAGATAATAACTTCAACAGATTTACTTATAGACAGATGCTTTAGCAATTAAACTAAAAAAGTTTGAGAAATGTTCTATTTTGAGAAAGCTGCAAGATTTATCAGTAGTAATTCTTCCCATACCATAAGCATAATTGATGTAGCCTTATTCAAAATTAAGCTTTATAGTGTTGTAAACTTCAAGTTGTGAGATGATTAAGTTCTAAGGATCTCATGTACAGCATGGTGACCACAGTTAATAATACTGAATTTTATATCTGAAATTTGCTAATAGAGTAGATAGGAAATGTTCTCACAAGAAAAAAAGTAAAAAAAAACCAACAAATTATATGATGTGATAAATGCGTTAATTTGTTTTCTTATGATAATTTCACAACATATATGTATATCATTAAATTGTATACTTTAAATAATACAATTTTATTAGCCAATTATATAAAAAATTAAACGTCATTTAAAAATGTGCACTCTAGAATGCCTATAGAATTGTGTTTTTGTTGCATAACACTTATTTCAGCATTAGGATAACTTTTTTCATTTCTACTGATAATATGTAAAGAACTACTACTTCAATTGGAATAATATCATATATAATACAGCCTGTAGATTCCTTTTCTTATTTCTTTGTATAAAGGCACTTCCTGTTTAAGACTTGTACAAAAAATAAAATAAAAAATTAACTATGCCTTCTTTTACTTCCAAAAACAGAGAGAAAGGACCTTCTATATAATCCTTTTAAACATAAGTATATATGAACTTCTAAACCTTAAAAAAATGACTCCATTTTGAATGGCAAAGAAACACATTTTTAGAGTTTTAACTTAGTATAACATAAAGGCCAAAGAATTCATAATTAATTATATAAACAAATAATTACATTCTTCTCTCATTTGTTATAGATGAGAAATCATAACCCTAGATAAATCAAGATATTAACCCTTTTAAAGAAATCTTAAGACAAATTCTCAGAAGTACAGCGCTCTCCTAGTAGTAAAAATCATGAGTTTTTAAGTCGGAATGTCTGCATTTAAATCCAGAATCTATCATTAAGTAAACTTTACCAAGTTACTTACTCTCTTTAAACCTCAGTTTTCTACTTGTAAAGGGGGTTTTACATTATGATGTATCCTTATAAAATTATGATCCTTTAATGAAATAACACATCCAAATAATTTTGAATTTTCTACTTGGCATATAGTAAGTATTATGTAATTGTTTTAAATTACTGTTACCATTAGTAGCATCTGCTTACTCATAGTCCATTTTACAATAATAGCTCTGGGAAGGCAAACAAACATTTAAAGAACGGAATGTAAAGCAGATTTTCTCTATCACAGGTTCTCTTAGTGCCCTAATTCTCCACAGAATGTGGTGTCCTTACAAAGGGAAAAGAAGGACCCCTGAGTCTTCATTAACCACAGCTTTTCCTAGGTGGCATGCCGGGCTAGCCGGGAGTTGAGATTATGATGTGCGGCCATGTTTCTGATGTTCTACATACAGGGGTGTCCAACCTTTTGGCGTCTCCGGGCTACACTAGAAAAAGAAGAGTTGTCCCGGGCCACACATTAAATACATTGCAACATGTAATCACAAAGAGATCTCATAAGTAAATTTATAATTTTGTGTTGGGCCGCATTCATAGCCATCCTGGGACGCATGCTGCCTGCGGGCTGTGGGTGGGACACCCCTGCTACAAGTTGGTACAGAACATATCAAACCAGGACCGATCAGAGGGAGATCAATATACTACTGCTTTGTAAGCTAGTGGTCTCCAAAGTCATGGGGGAAAAAATGGAGCAGGCATCCTGATAATAATATATAATTATGTATATGACCTAATGTACTGACAAAGTACATTACAAAACATTCTAAAGAAAGGATTAACAGAAATCCTGAACCATTCTCCACTTTCCCTGGGAACATGTGGGGTTAAGATAAATGAGGGATGCCAGCTGTCAACATTATTTATTATTGGTATTTATTACTGGTGAAACGCATCTGGACCAGAAGGGCGCTGATTGAACTATAAAATCATTTTAGGACTCACAGACTTTGTCTTCCCATGTGCAATGCATTCTTGCAACTGAGGTCATCCCCTGAAGAGACCTGGGGCTGTAACCAAGATACTGGTTCCTGTGGGGTATGAGCCTTATCCATGGTAAATAGTCCATGCCTAGCCATGTGGTCTGGTCATCTTAAAACCGAGTTACTACTTCAGGGACAAGGGAGAAGAAAAGGAAATCGGTTCCTGAACAATAATGGGGGCTCCCATTAATGTTATCCTGTTGACCTTCCATGTTTCCTTTACTCTATCCTTCTGTTGAATGACATGGATCTGCAGATCTGGTACCTACTGTGTCATAGTAGTGTGAGTGTCAAGACAAAACCACAAGTCCACTCTAGTGATCATGCAGACACATGCATATGCAAAAATATATGTTTCTTCCTCTGACCTAATGGACTACTTCAAGCATCATGCTTTTGAGAACACTGCTTGGATTCACGTACTTTTCAAAATATTGGGTTATAGTCTTTGCAACAAGCTTAGAATACATTATTTCCTTTGTGATTCTCAGTGTTTTTGACAACTTTGTCTTTCATCATTGTAAATCTTTGGCCTTCTCTACAACTAGTATTGCCTCTAGGCCTTTCTAAACTAAAACCTGATAATTCCATCACTACAAATTCTACAGCAGAGAGTCATAAGAAATTCCTGAAAACAGAAATACTACAATATCTTCTAGAAGTTATTCACTTCTTACTTTCTCATAGAAGTTATTAGGATATAGCTATAGGGAGCTTGAAAAATTATAACATTGTGGGAGAAGTAACTCTTTCAATTTTAATATACTTTTATACTAGTTCCATTAAACATGCTATGCTGAAAACAAAATTATTTCTTCCATTCTTGACACTACTCTCAATTCCAAGTAACCAAATAATTTCACCACTCTATATGAAAATTCCTGCAGATGTATCTTTTATTACTCCATTTTTGAGCACACATTTTTAAGAATATATTTTTATAACTTACCCTGAAACATGCAACATCAGCAGCATGTAGAAGACAAAGAAGAGATTATGAGTGTACCAGAAGATGTCATACTGAGAAACTCTGGAAAAACAAATAACTTAGTTTCAATGTCACTTTACATTCCATTTCACTAAAAAGATTGTGCATTTCAAACATGTCACAATTGAAGAAAGTTCAATTATGGTTTCATTTGAGATCTATGTATTATACCAAAGTATTTCATACCATGCAGAGAGACGTGACAAAAATTATAAATAACCCTATCATTTTAAAGGCTTTCTTTCTATTTGAAATAAAGACACATGGAGATCATTGAAATAAGTTGTTTAAAGTTATTATGATGTGGTACTGAGAAGCAGTTATAGTTTGCTTATGTGTATTTTTGCTGCCTTTTTATCAATAGTTTCAATGTTTAAATGTTTTAAAACAACTAAGGTTCCTATTCCAATAAATATTTTGAAAGTAGTTTAAAGAGAACTCAAATTGAATGAAATTAAAGAAATGCTCATTAAAGTTTTACATTCATTTTCTGGATAGCATATAACTTAAAAACATCTCTTTGTAGCTACTGCCCTGCAGAACAATGAAACTGAAAATGAAGAAGTATGATAAACACAATCTATAGAATAGAATGTTTGAGAGAATTAAAAAGTGTAACAGTTCTTTTATATGTCTGGGTGGATGTTACCATATTAGAATCTTGGAGGTGGAAGGCAGGTATTTTTTTTTTAAACTTCTGAAAAATTCAGATACAATGCCTAGATCCTTTAAGAAGCCCTAATGTAAGCAACGATCAATTGACTCACATTTACTTCATTCAGTTTTTGCTATCATAAATGAAATCATTAACATCCTTGTAACATATGCCTTTTTGCACACATCTCTTTTTTTTAGTCTAAATTCCTACAAGTGGAGTTGCTAGATCACAGGGCACACATTTTTGATGCTTTTGATACGCACTGCCCATTGCTCTCTGAAAACAGGTTTATCAACTACAAATCCAACTTTAGAATAGGAATGCCTTTTTCCCCAAACCTAGGCTCTACTGTATAACTTTTTATTATTTTGTATAAGTGAAATTGGGTATTATTTCATTTGTGTGTTACACACTTTAAATTCTTCTATTACATAACTATGCTTATTTCTATGCGAAATTTTCTTTAATTGTTGTAAGCTATTCAAATTAAGAATGTACAAGTTTGACATAATCGTAATAAAATTTGTCAAATAACACAATCACTTTGTTAAATTCAAGAAAGAAAACAAACAAAACAAGCTATCTTGGATTTTGATTGGAATTGTAAGAAACATAAAATAATTGAGGAAGAACTTCCTCTTTTCATTATAGTCTCTACTCAAATCTCTACTCATTTCTCTCTCAGTGAAGTGTTGTTTTTCTATATAGCTTTCATTTAGTTCTTTATAAATTTATTTGTAGATATTATATATTTTTGTTGCAATGAATAATGGCATCTTTTTATTCAATTTTAAAACTGATAATAGCTATTATATAAAAAAGCAATTTGTAATAGTTGTTTTGTACTCATTTACTTATCTCAACTATTTTATTTGATATAACACTTTTTTCCCCACAATTCTCTTGGATTTTCTGGCTAGACAATTGTACCTACCTTTCTGGAAGTAATGATAGCTTGTTGCTGGATTCCTTTTAATAATTCTAAATGTTTAATTTCTTACCATATGTAAATAATGTCATGCTTTAATGGAATTAAACTTTCACTTTGGCTTTATCATGATTTTCTTACAATGTATCTCATAATTCACTGGTAAGTATAATCTCAGTTCTGGTTTTTATATTTTTAATTCTATAAAACAAATTAATTTTTAGTTAACTCTGGTTATTTTAATTCAGAATTAGAGTTCAGATTTAACAACTGTCATTTCAAAGTCTACTGAGCTGAGGAAATATATTAGTATTTTTTTTATTTAGTTATTTTTCAAGTACATTTTTTGTCTATTTCTCCCATATATTAGTATTATTGTCAGTTGTTAGTAGAATATATTACTTAGCTTAATAACTGACTCATATTGAACCATTGGCAAATTATTAGACAACATTCAATGTCAGAAATCAAATACTGAAGCCATGTTTATTCACCTGTTTTCTCTAATGTTTTACTTCCTTAAAGTAAAGAGAAAAGTAGAAGAAAAATATCTTCATGATCCATTTAAGAATTTCATGATTCTTACAGTGATGCTTGGAAAAAAGCAGTTAGTTTTATAATCTCTTTTAAACAGATGAAAACACTAACAAGACACAGTTACCAAATTATTTATGTAATGGCTCAGTTGAGAAAAGAAACTGACATTATATTCCATTTTATAACACTATCGCTCAATTAAGGATTCTTTTTTCTAGATACAGCATATTTATATATCTTCAATCTTATAAATAAATGTCAGATATCCTAATTTTTCTTCAAGAACTCCTAAAATTAAAAAAGTAAGCTTTTTAATGAATTATTAACCTAAGTAAAATAAAAGTCCTCCCACACAATTGTCACCCTGATGCACTAGAGATTTGCCTTTCTGTAGGTGATTTTTAATACTTATGAAAAGTTATGATAATGGGCTCACCATCTGACCCAGCCATTATCCATCTAAGTATTTTTCCATAGGATATAATTGAAAAAGTATGCAAAGACATATGAACAGGGTGTTTGTTTCACAAGTGAAATTCTGAAAAAAAAAAAAAAGAAATGGAATCACCTAAAACTTCCAACAGGAGACTGGGAGGGTAACGTACGGGTATGGCATGGCTGCATGGTAATATGTGGTGCCATCAGGAGAGTAAAACATGTTCTAAATAGATGACTCAAAATAGCATATATAACATGGTCCAATTTTGGTAAAATCCATGTATATGAAGAGACAGAAATCAGGAGTGTGAAAGGAAAAGAGTGATTTTGGTAGAGGTAAGACATGGGGAATGAATGAGGAAAAAAAAAACAAGAAGAATGAAGTGTATGAACATAACACCAGGAAGTTTACAGTATTAGTATCTGAGTTGTCAGTTTCCTTGAGATTTCTGTGGTTTGTGTTTGTGTGCATAGAGGTTCTGAAGTGCAAGGACAGACTCCTTTGAGCATGATGTAGAGCAATTATTTTCAAAGTATGTGTGTGTGTGTTTCCGCTATATTTCACATCTCAACAAATAAAATGACTATTTCTAAAGATTATATGGTTTCTTATCTTTGCTTTCTTAACCAAGAAGTTTGACCAGTAACATAAAACACTGTAAGATACTGTGAAAAACAGCTGTATCCAGAAAGAACACGTGACTGTTCACAGAAATGTGGATCTGCAACTGCTCAAAATCTCTTAACTAGAAGAATAATCTGAATGCTGATATCTTTTTTATTATTTTAGCAGATGTCAACTAACCATGTTTCCAAAGCTTTGCTTAGAATACATTAAAGTATAGCAAATCCGTATCAGGAAATGAGTTTTAAAATAATTTTAAGTGATATGTTCCTGTGCATGCGAATTGAATTCAATCCCAGGCCTCATAGATACACTATCCTCCAGAAGAATGCTCCCGAAGAACTCAAATTTCCTTCATTTAAAAAGTCTCCCAACACAGTTGCTTACCAACCTAGAATATTTGAGCAAAACAAAGAGATTTTTCAGAAACAGGAAATGATATATACAGAAATGTCTGTACTTCACCCTTAGTTACCCAGAATTGTTGATTCATCAGAATACTACATTGGCTAAGCATTCTGTTCAATCCAGTGTGTTTCTCCACACAAAAATGAGGGTAATCTGAAGAAAATCTAAACAATCAGACTAGTAGATATGGAAATCATGACTCTGACACTCACCGCATCGCATACGTGGAAGCTGTGACCATCAGGAAGAGCACCAGTACCATGCACACTCCTGTCAGGCCTGGAACTATAAAAATGTACATTTTAACTTAAGTCATACTGAGAAAAAAGTACAAAAATCATTGCCTTAAAGTCCAAAGTATGACGCTGCTCTCTGGGAAGCCCACTTCAAATCCCATATCTCCTGTATGCTGTCCCACAAAAAAGCTTTTTCAAAAATTAGTACAATTTTAAGATATTTAAGGCAAAGCACTCTTTTCTACCTCTAACAGAAGAGTTTCTTTTTATACTTGCAAATATTCCACTCAGAATGGTGAATATGTACATATTTCTACAGGTGCCTATTATACCAAATGTCAGTAATTAATACATGGCACAGGTTTGACAATGAACACTATGGCCTTGGTTTTCCACACCATGGTACTAACCTCCCTTGTTCTCCTCTCTCCCCTCTTATGGAACTAGTAGCTCTTTCAGTTTTAATTTCAAATAACTTCTAATGGGCTGACTTATCTAGAATAACATCTGAAACATAAACAAAACCTAAAGCTTCCTGAAACCGGAACTCCAACTGCAGAACAAAAAAGTGTTAACTTCAAGAAAAAAATGAGTGCTGTTTTCAGAACACTTGCAGAAATATTTCCAGTAGTATGGAAAATATGCTGACATCAGCCTTTCTGATATGATATAACATTTATTTTTTAAAAACTAAAATGTGCAAATATGTTAGCTTTTAAAACTAATATTGATGTGATTGATTGCTACAAATCTGGTGTTAGCTTGTACAGCATGTCAAAATGAGTAGCTCATATGCCATATCAAAAAGAGCTAAAATCGAAATAGTCTCATTTCTTATTATCTTTTTACTACCAAATAAAATATCTTGTGTATAAGTTACTTTTTTTACTCTTAAAATCACAAGCAACAGTAACTCCCAAATGTTCTAGCTGAGAGCGTCCATCTTAAATTTTCTTGGAAAAACTAATGAAACAATTCTGTCTCCAAAGAATAAGCATCACCCCACTTCTCTTCTTGCCAAGGAACCAGCTATGAAACAGAAGGGCCATCGTGGACTGTAAGCTACTAGCAGAAGCAGACAAGCTGGGTACAATATTAGAGCAATACAAGTGGGCATTATTAGGACTCCAGAGAGTTTAGAATCATTGAAAAAATTAGAAATCTCAGCACAGCTGGTTGCAAGAGGCCATCAGAGTAGGAGGATCTTTCTTGCATCTCCTCCCAGAACCAAGTTAGAAATAAAAAGAAAGAGGGGAACAGCACCTGAAATAAACAACCAAAGACTGCATAATGAAGAGACTTTTAACCAAAGTGGATAGAAGCCACCTCTAGACCAGGGTGAAAGCACAGATTTTTTTTTTGTGCATAGCCACTCACCTGGGGCTGTAATAAAGGGAGGGTGGCATGGACTGGAATCACCAGAGGAAAAATGGAGTGGGAGTCAATGGGGAAAGATGTGGGGAAGTGGTTGCTGTCATTCCTATGCCAGGACATACCTATATACAGCAGCAACCATTTTTCTTGAGAAGAGCAAGCCCGTCCCAGAGGAAAAGCAAGTATGCCACCCTGTAGGATAGGGCTTGCCTCAACCTCTGAAATCCTGCTTGCCCAACACTGCATCTTTTATTCCCCCCACAGAGCATCTTAACCCCTGCTGAGGAAACAGCAACATAGGCAGCTTCGGGGTGTCAGGGACTGGCTTTAGGGCATGGCCACCCCTTACTCTTTCCTGGGGAACCAGACTGGAGCTTACCCCTTACAGGAGAGCCACAGAAACATCCTCCTGGTTTCTGGCAGACCCACAGTCTGGGCTCTGGAGGCCCCACCCACTTTCCTCCTACAAGCTTCAACTTGTTGAGTTCAGGGAAATAATCTGGGACAGGATGAGACACTGTGCTCAAGGGTAGGGGAATATACCTACCCTCTTCCCTGAAGTCTAATCAGCACCTCCAAGAGATCCCATCTTCCCAACTCCACCAGAAGCCCTCTCAGAAACAGATGGGTCAGGGATCCCATTAAGACTGACAGAAAGAAGGGCAGAGGCAGAGGCAGAGGCAGGTGGAGGCGGATCACGCAGTGCCTTAGGACATATTCTGATACACCCCTAGGCCTTGTGCTGTTAAAAACCAGTCGTGCAGAGCAGCATGGCCCATTCCATGCACAGACAAGCCCAGAGGACACAGCCACAGACTGTGGATCACTTGTACCTTCAAACAAGTGGACAGCATCTGACATTGGCTTACACCAGCTTCAGAAAACATCAGAGCCATATCCAAAAAGGAGAACCCAACAGGCAGGCAGTAAATTCCACTGAGGCAAACTCCACCTTGTATTTCTCGTTATTTTTGTTTTTTTTTCTTTTTCAAAGTCTTTTTCCTATTTTCTTGCTTTTTTAAATTTCTTCTTTTATATGTCTTATTTTACTCTTCCTTTTCCTTACTCCATTATCCTTCTTTCCATTTATTTTTATTCTTTCTTTCTTTGTTCTTTTTTGCCATTTTCCTTTTTCTATTCCTTACTCAATGTTTCTCTTCTCACACATTCATTTTTCTTTCCTTTGATCTTATCATATCATTTTTTCTTTTGCTTTTCCATTTCTCTTTTGCTTTTATTATTCTTTGCTCTTTTGTCATTGTTTTTGCTGCTGTTTTTTTGGGGGGTATGCTTATTTTGGCTTTGTTTTTGTGTTGTTTTATTTTGTTCTGTCAGTACCTGTACAACAGCACACAAGATGTGCTGAGGATTGCGTCTCTCTGTCAGCTAGCTGGAGGGGAGATCTCACCAACAAACAGGCCAACACCAATCAAGACACTAATATAACAGGAGAGCCCGCATAACCCATGCAAGAAACATTCCTAGAGCTTCCACCTCAGGAGATCAAGGAGACTATATCACTGGGTCCCAGAGGACTCCTACCACAGAAACCCACACCAGAAAGACAGGGGAGCAAAGCAGATCAATCCAATACATAGAAATGAACCAAAGGGAACAGCTACAAAGAAGCAACCCCAAACAAAAGAAAAGGAAGAATCCCCCAAAAAAGAACTAAATGAAATTGAGGCAAGCAATTTATCAAACATAGAGTTTAAAATAATGGTTATAAGGATGATCAAGAAACTTAGTGAGAACTACAAGGATCTTAGGAGAAATGACATCAGCTTGAAAAAAAAACATAGAAACTATGAATAAGACCCAGGTGGAAATGAAGAATGCAATATATGAAATGAAGAATACACTAGAGGAAATTAAAAGTAGGCAGATGAAGCAGAGGATCAAGTCAGCAATTTGAAAGACAAGGTAGAAAAAAAAAACAATTATACAAACAAAAAGAAAAAAGATTAAAAAATGAGGATAGTTTAAGGGAACTTTGGGACAACATGAAGCATAACAACATCGGCATCATAAGGACACCAGAAGGAGAAGAAAGTGAATGAGGGGTAAAAAAAAATACCTGTTTGAAATAATGATGATAGAAATCTTCCCTAATCTGGTAGAGGAAAAAGTCACACAAATTCAGTAAGTATTGAGTCCCAATCAAGATGAACACAAAGAGACCCACACCAAGATACATCGTAATTAAAATGGAAAATTTAAAGGCAAGAAGAAACTTAAAAGGCAACAAAAGAGAAAAGGTTAGTTACATGCAAGGGAGTTCCAATGAAGCTGTCAGTTGATTTCCCAACAGAAACACTTCAGGCCAGAAGAGACTGGCATAAAGTACTCAAAGAAATTAAAAGCAAGGACCTGCAGCCAACAGTATTCTATCCAGCAAGGCTGTCATTTAAAAATGAAAGACAAATACCATATGATCTCACCTTTAACAGGAACCTAAACAACAGAACAAACAAACAAATAAAATATAACCAAAGACACTGAAATAGAGAACAGGCTGACAGTGACCAGAGGGGAGAGGGGAGGGAAATTCAGGGGAATTTCAGGGGAATTTCAGGGGAAAAGGGGAAGGGTTTACAGGAACTAGTATAAAGGACACATGGACAAAAACTAGGGAGGGTGGAAATGGGAGGGAGGTGGGGAGGGATGGGTAGGTAGGTGGATGGGCTGGGATGGGAGTAAAAGAAAACTGTACTTGAACAACAATTAAAATAAAATTTTAAAAAATGAAGGCAAAATAGACAGCTTCTCAGACAAAAACCAAAAAAGCTAAAGGAGCTCATTACAATAAAACCAGCATTAGAAGAGATGTTAAAGAGACTGCTTTAAGGAGAAGAAATAGAGAGAAGAACATAGGTATAAAACAATGGCAATGAATAAGTACCTATCAATAATAATGTTAAATAGAAATGGACTAAATGTTCCAATTAAAGACATAGGGTAGTTGAGTGGATAAGAAAACATAACCCACCCTTGTTGGTGTAGCTCATTGGATTGAGCATGGACCTGTGAACCAAAGGATCACTGGTTTGATTCCCAGTCAGGGCACATGCCTGGGTTGTAGGCGAGGTCCACAGTATGGGGTGCACAAGAGGCAACCACACACTGATGTTTCTCTCCCTCTCTTTCTCCTTCCCTTAACCTCTGTCTACAAATAAAATCTTTAAAAAAATAACCTATATACACATATATGCTGTTTAGGAGAGATCCACATCAGAACAAACAATTCATACAAGCTGAAAGTGAAAGGATAAAAAAGATATCCATCCAACTGGAGACCAAAAAAAAGATGGGGTACCAATACTTATATCTGACAAAACAGACTTAAAGCCCATAACAAGAGACAAAGACGATCACTATGTAATACTAAAGGAATCAATCCAACAAGAGGATATAAATAACCCTTGCAAACACATATGCACCCAATATAGGAGTATCTAAATATATAAAGGAAATCTCGGAGAACTTTAAGAAAGAGATTGACAGTAATACAGTCATTGTAGGGAATTTTAACACCCTTCTGTCACCAACGGGTCAAAAAAATTAACAAGGAAACAGTGACCTTAAATAACACGCTGAATCAATTGGAATTAACTGATATTTACAGAACATTTAATCCCAAAGCAACAGAATATACATTCTTCTCATGTGCACATG